GCAGGCCCAGCAGCTCCAGTACTCCCAGTACGAGCACCTCCGGGACCCGCAGCACCAGCACCCTCAGCAGCAGCAGAACCTCCAGCGCCCGCAGCAACTCCAGCTCCAACAGCTCGCCTCCAGCGCCGAGGAAACCCCTCACGCAGCTCCTGTGGAGAGAGGAGCTCCCGCCTGGATGAAGCACCCAACGAACCTCCAAGCCCAACACCGCCAGACGCCACACAAGCAGGCCCAGCGACCTCAGGCTCCGCACCCCCAGGCTCAGCACCCTCAGTCTAAGCACCCCCAGGCTCAGCACCCCCAGGCTCAGCACCCCCAGTCTCAGCACCCCCATGCTCAGCACCCCCAGAGTCAGCACACCCAGGCTCAGCACCCCCAGACCCCGCACCCGCAGGCTGAGCACCCCTAGAAGCACCAGAGTCAACAGCTACCTCGAAAGGCTCGACTGCGTCTACCTGAGACACAGCTGAGGGGGCAGGACCCTGAGGAGGGGGGGGGTCTATCGGAGGGGCACCTAGCGTAAAGAAGAGCCGCAGGGGGGGTGAGACGCAGTGCGGTAGGGGAAGAGACGGTAGAAGCAAACCGACTCGTCAAATGTGACGTCCTGGGAGGACACAACACGACGCGAGGTGGGGTGGTAGAACTGCCAGCCTTGCGCCTCAAGGGGGAAGCCAAGGAAGACGCAAGAAAAAGCACGAGGGGACAGCTTGTCCGCAGACAAGTCGCGGACAAACGCCCAAGATCCCCATACACGGAACGCAGACGCATCGCCAACCTTCCCCGTCCATAGCAAAGCAGGAGAGGTCTGCGACCTGGGGACCCGGGGCTGAAGGTTGAGCTTATGCGCCGCGTACCGAACCGCAAATGGCCACAGAAAATGGGGGGCAGCCGCATGGACCATGGACGTACGGGAAACGTCCATGACCATGCCAATGCGGCACTCAGCAATCCCATTTTGGTGTGGAGAGTCCGGAAGCGTGAAGGTCTGGTGGATGCCTCGTGCACGACAGAAGGCTCTCAAAAGGCTAGAGGAAAACTCTTCGACTCTGTCGCAGTGCAGACGCATAACAGGAAAGTTCGAACCGAAACTCTCTCTGAGCTGGAGACGAGCTGCGCGGATCCAGGCGATCAACACCTCAGTGACCTCACCCTTGCTGCGCAAGGGGAAGACTCTAGTGTAACGCGAGTAGTCATCAACCACCAGCAGGAAGTAACGCTCGTGACCCTGTCCACGGACGCGGGCTGGGCCCCACGCGTCCATGTGAAGCGTCTGCAGCGGAGCCTGTGTTGGAGGAAACTCGGAGGAGTGAGGAGCAGCGCGCTGCCGCCCCTCGACGCAGGGGACGCAGGTAGGGGCAGGCCCTGGAGGAAGAGGAGGGAAGGACCGGGGGAGACCAGAGAGAAGGACACGAGAAGCCATGCCTCGTAGACGAGGCAGGGAGGGGTGACCAAGGCGGTTGTGCTAGAGGAGAGTCTGGTGAGACAGGAGACGACACGAGCAGGGGGAAGACTCAGGGCCAGACCTGGACGCCGCAGCAAACACCTGACCCGACGCGGCCACCTGAGCCGACTCTGCGATTGGAGGAGACTCAGTAGTCAGTGTGTACAGGCTCGACCCCGGCTGACAGGTAAACGTGGCCAAGTGACGGCCCGTCCGAGCACAGGTACAGTGGGTCACTCACCGACTCGCAGGAGTGAACTGGTAAACCCCTGCATCCTGGAGGTCAGCACCACTCACCAAGCTCGTAGAGAACGAGGGGAGGTAAAGACCTGACAGGGTGCCAGAAGGGGCCACCGAACACGGTAGGACATTGGAGAAGCGGACAAGGACAGGACCCCCAAAGGGGTCTGCCAGGGAGACTGCCACTGGCCGACTAAGCGGCGTGAGCGTGGTGCGGTCTCGAAAGAAGGAGCGGGAAGCACCCGAGTCAAGGGTGAAGGTGTGGGTGGCCGGAACCAACGCGGTACCTGAGAGCGCAGACTCACCAGCACCTGGGGCAGCAGACTCACTGGCACCTATAGCAGTAGCCTCACCAGCACCTAGAGCAGCAACCTCAATGCCCGGGTCAGGAGGAAAACACTGGTAACAGTCACCCTTATCACTAATAGCCACAGCATACATGGCAGCAAGAATGGCATCAAAATTAAGATCAAAGATCGCAACACCCGCCCTAGACAGCTCGCCCTAGCGAGGGATCTCAGTAGCATCAGGGAACTGGTGACGCCAAGCGTCGGTTAGGCGGCCGAAGCAGCGCTGGGTGGAGTGCGGACCCCCACACTGCTCACCCGCGCGGTCGCTGGTGCATAGAACGTAGGTATAGGGGCCAGCACCCCCACCCCGCTGACGAGCAGTGTACCACTCATGAAGCTGTTGAGGGGAAGGGGTCTCACGAGTGCGTTGCTGCTGCTGCTGCTGGCGCTGACCACCACCGGAGCCGACCCTCTGCGTGGCGCCGCCCCGACCAGCTGCACCTCCTCCGCCGCTACCTCCACCACCGCCTCCCCCTCCGCAACCCCCGCTCGCACCGCCACCACCGCCGCCTCCTCCGCCTCCACTGCCGCCACTAGTACCCCCACCTCCGCCTCCACTCCCACCGCCACCCCCACCCCCTCCTCCGCCTCTACCGCCTCCTCCACCGCCCCCGCCAGCTCCTCCAGCGCCCTTGCCCCCCTTGCCCTTGCCTGTGCGGCGTCTCCCGCTAGGGGCAGACGCCGCGCTGACTGACTCAAGAACAACGAGGTCGGCCGCAGCAGTAGAGGCAACAGAGGGCAAGAGGGGGGAGGGGGAGCACCCCTCAAAGACAGGGGTACGAGGGTCACCACGAGAGGCTCCTACAGCAACTATACGCTTTTCTGCTGCTAGGAGGCGCTCCTCGAGGAGGTCAATGGTGAGAGTGGTGGGGCAGACAGAGAGGAAGTGGTCCCTAACTGAACGAAGGGTGTCAGGGAGCCGGGTGACTATGTAGTAGAGGGTGATGTACATAGGGGGGGGGGTTCTTGGCGCAGAACTCAGTAGGAAGTACAGCGCGGTAGCGAATATCACTAGTGCAAAGGTGCGTAATGAGGTCAGCAACTGTGGGGAAAGCGGCGAGGTCAAGGAAGAGGTACGGCAGTATGAGACGGCTAAGGGCAGCAGAGGCAGGGGAAGAGTAGCGTGCAACTACAGCGTCTTACAAGGTCTTAGCACTCTTGTACTGACTAAAATGCACGCACTCAGAAGTAGGCAAGTGGCGGCGCACAGCAAGGCAGGCAGCAGCATCGTGCGTGGCTCTTTGTGAGCGAACAGTAGCGTCAGCATCAGCAGCAGGGGCAGGAGAGGCACCAGAAGTGAGGTCAAACATGGAGAGACTGTCTGCCCTATTGTACTGGAGGAAAAGCTGCAGATCATCTACGCAGACCTCAAAGTCAACAGCCCGACCCTCAGCGTCAAAGGTGAGAACACTGGGGGTAGCCATGAGAGCAGTAGACCAGCAGAGAGAGCAGCAGGGTAGGGCAGTGCAGTGGCAGAGGCGCTTCTCTTACCAGGTAGGTGGGGCGGGCCGAGGCAGGCTGACAGGGACAGGGCCGCTACGGCAGTGACTGCGGCGGCTTGGCTGCGGCGGCGTGACGGCTCGGCGGCTCAGCTGCTCGGCGGCGTGGCGGCTCGGCTGCAGGGTGGCTCAGTGGCTCGGGTGCAGGGCGGCTCGGTGGCTCGGTGGCTCAGTGGCTCGGCGGCTCGGCAGCAGGGCGGCTCGGTGGCTCTGCAGCAGGGCGGCTCGTGGTTGCGAAGGAGCGGCGACGAGGCCGCGATAAGGGGCGGCTACGGGGCCGCGGTAATGGGCGGCGACGGGGCCACGGAGGGGCAGCGACGGGGCCGCGGAAGGGCGGCGACGAGGCCGCTAAGAAGGGCGGCGACGGGGCCGCTGAAAGGGCGGCGACGGGGCCGCTGGAAGGGCAGCAACGGGGCCGCGTAAAGGGCGGCGACGGGGCCGCTGAAAGGGTGGCAAAGGGGCCGCTGAAAGGGCGGCTACGGGGCCGCTGAAAGGGCGGTGACCGGGCCGCTGGAAGGGCGGCGACGGGGCCGCTGAAAAGGGCGGCGACGAGGCCGCTGAAAGGGGGAGGCGGCGATGGGGCCGTGAGGGCGGCGCGACGGAGCCGCGAGGGCGGTGCGACGGGGCCGCGAGGGGCTGTAAGGGGACGCGAGGGGCCACGAGGGGCCGGGAGGGTGGCACGACGGGGCCGTGAGGGCGGTGCAACGAGGCCGCGAGGGGGCCGCTAAGGGGCCGCGAGGGGCCGGGAGGGCGACGCGACGGGGCCGTGAGGGCGGCTCGACGGGGCCGCGAGGGTGGCGTGACGGGGCCGCTAGGAGCCGTGAGAGGGGCCTCTAGGGGCTATAAGAGGGCGCCTGAGGCCACTATGGAGAGACCTACGGGGCGCGACTCGGGTTGGGGCTAAGCGCGCTACGGGCAGGAAAAAAAAAAAAAAACGATTCGGTGGGCCCTAGGAACAGTTCCCATGAGGGAACCTGCTCTATACCATGTGAAAGTTCGAACGAGAATGAATTGCATTGAGCAGCATGAGAAGTACAAGTACCAAAACCCTAAAGTGTTGTACCCCATATAAGCTACCCCACTACAGCCTACACAGACTATAGCATAAGAGTTTGACATTGCGTGCTTATGCGCACTTGTGATAACCTTTTCTAGAAGAGCGCGTTCCCGAAGGTTCGGATGTTTCTATGTATTTCTGAGTATAAATACGCCTTGTACTCACCTTTTGTGCAACATTATCGAGTAGAAATTCGATCATGTGAGACTTGGTAACAGAGCCGTATTCACTCGCGGAGTTTCAGCTAAGCAGCGCGCTCAAGAAATTCATGCTTTGAAAAACCGCCGGGGGCGAAGAATTCGGCGCCGACGCTGGTAAGTACCAGAATCCGCGTTTTTTTAATAACCCTCCTCGCGCGTTTTTTTAACATGATCGTGAGTTCCATTGTTAGCGAAAACGTTTGCGATGTAGCGATGTCATTCCCGAATTGTCGGGACCTATATCTAGCGGTGCACAAGTAGCGAGACCGACGCGCGATGGATCTAACGACTTCGGGTGAAAGCGCGCGTCATGGCGAAAATTCCAACAAAAGCAGAATCAATCGTGACTTCGCACCAATCGCGAAAATTTCTCCATGCCCAAGAAATTCGAGCCCCCAACACCTTTGATGGGGAAAACGACGCTCGGCACTGGCTTTTGGCGATCGAAATTTATTTTGCCGCCATTAGATGGACAGCACCAGCACTCGACAGAAACAGAATTAATTTTGCAGCAACACTACTACGCGGACCAGCAATTGAATGGATAAGCAGAAGCGGTTTATTAAACCAAGGTGAAGCGACACGGCAGTAGTTCCATGAAGGATTACTACAACATTTTGAGCCGATTAATGCAGCGTTAATCACCCGCGACAAAATGCATCGTCATCGACAAATCGGGAGCGTCACAAACTACACGCAACAAATGGACATCACAAAAAACCTGGGTTTTTGAAGGGGGTTCGAAGGGGTGTACATTGTCAAACTTATATGATCTAGCTTGTGTAGGCTGAAGCGGGTTAGATACTAAGGGGTACACACTTCTAGAGTTTCACTTTTGTATCACTTTCATTCCTTAGTCAATTCATTCTCGTTCTAATCTCCACATGGTATCGAGCAGGTTCCCTCGTGGGAACTGTTCCTAGGGCCCACCGAATATCGACTTTTTTTTTCCTACCCGGAGCGCGCTTAGCCCCTTGCCCGAGTCGCGCCCCGTGTGGCTCCCCTTCGTGGCCTATAGCGGCCCCTCTCACGGCCCCTAGCGGCCCCGTCGCGCCGCCCTCACGGCCCCGTCATGCCGCCCTCGCAACCCCGTCGCGCCGCCCTCGCGGCCCCTCGCGGCCCCTTAGCGGCCCCTCGCAACCCCGTCGCGCCGCCCTCGCGGCCCCTAGCGGCCCCTCGCGGCCCCCCTCCCACGGCCCCTCGCGGCCCCTTTCGCGGCCCGTCGAGGCCCCTTTCGGCCCCGTGAGGTCCCTCTCACGGCCGCTCGCAGCCCCTTCGCGGCCCCGTCGCGCCGCCCTTGCGGCCCCGTCGCCGGCATCTCCTCCCCTCGGCCTAGTCGCCGCCCTTCAGATGCCACGTCGCCGCCCCTCCGCGGCCCCGTTGCCGCCCTTCCGCGGCCCCATTGCCACCCTTCCGCGGCCCCATTGCAGCCCTTACGCGGCCTCGTCGCCGCCCTTCAGCGGCCCCACCACCGCCTCTCAGCGGCCCCGTTGCCGCCCCTTGCGGCCCCATCGCCGCCCTTCCTCGGCCCCTCCGCCGCCCTCCCCGGCCCTGCCGAGCAGCCGAGCCGCCGTCACCACCGAGCCGCCAAGCTGCCAAGCCGCCTGAGCCGCCGAGCCGCCTCTGCCGCCGAGCCGCCCAGCCGCCCAGCCGCAGAGCCGCCGAGCCGCCAAGCCACCGATCTGCCGAGCCGCGCAGCGACAGAGCCACCGAGCCGCCGGGCCGCCCCGCAGCCGAGACGCCACACTCACTGCAGTCATGGCCCTGTCCCTGCCGGCCTGCCTCGGCCCGCCTCACCTGCCCGGTAAGAGCAGCGCCTCTGCAACTGCACTGCCCTACCTCGCTGCTCTCTCTGCTAATCTACTGCTGTCATGGCCACCCCCAGTGTTCTCACCTTTGACGCTGAGGGTCGGGCTGTTAACTTTGATGTCTGGGTAGATGATCTGCAGCTTTTCCTACAGTGCGATAGGGCAGACGGTCCCTCCCTGTTTGACCTCACTTCTGGTGCCTCTCCTTCCCTTGCTGCTGATGCTGACGCCACTGTTCGCTCACAGTGGGCCACGCGCGATGCTGCTGCCCGCCTTGCTGTGCGCCGCCACTTACTAACCGCTTAGCGCGCGCATTTTAGTCAGTACAAGAGTGCTAAGACCTAGTACGACGCTGTAGTTGCACGGTACTCTTCCCCTGCCACTGCTGCTCTTAGCCGCCTCATACTGCTGTACCTCTTCCCTGACCTCCCCGCTTTTCCCACAGACGCTGACATCATCACGCACCTTCGCACTAGTGACATTCGCTACCGCGCTGCGCTTCCTGCCGAGTTCTGCGCCAAGAACCCCCCCCCCTTATGTACATCACCCTCTACTACTTAGTCACCCGGCTCCCTGACACCCTTCGCTCGGTCAGAGACCACTTCCTCTCTGTTTGCCCCACCACTCTCATCGTTGACCTCCTCGAGGAGCGCCTCCTAGCAGTAGAGAAGATTATAGTCGCTGTAGGAGCCTCTCGTGGTGACCCTCGTACCCCTGTCTTTGAGGGGTGCTCCCCCTCCCCCCTCTTGCCCTCTGTTGCCTCTGCTGCTGCGGCCGACCTCGTTGGTCTTGAGTCGGTCGGTGCGGCGTCTGCCCCTAGCGGGAGACGCCGCTCAGGGAAGGGCAAGGGGGGCAAGGGCGCTGGAGGAGCTGTCAGGGGCGGTGGAGGCTGCGGTGGAGGCGGCGGAGGGGGTGGGGGTGGCGGTGGGAGTGGTGGTGGGGGTGGGGGCGCTAGTGGTTGCAGTTGAGGCGGAGGAGGAGGCGGTAGTGGCGGTGCAGGCAGAGGTGGCGGAGGTGGAGGCGGTGGTGGAGGTAGTGGCGGCGGAGGTGGAGCTGATCAAGGCGGCTCTACGCAGAGGGTCGGCTCCGGTGGTGGTCAGCGCAAGCAGCAGCAGCAACAGCGCAATCGTGAGACCCCTTCCCCCCAGCAGCTTCGTGAGTGGTACACTGCTCGTCAGCGGGGTGGGGGTGCTGGCCCCTGTACCTACGTTCTCCGTACCGGCGACCGCGCGGGTGAGCAGTGTGTCGGAAACTTTGTCTCTTGGCCGCTCCCCTTGTTCTGTCATTCCTTTCTCTGTACCTCCTTCTGCCTCACCCCATCAAGTTCCTCAACTTTCTCTTCATGCTGTGGGTTGCTGCTCCTGCCTTTCTCACTATGTATGTTCGTAGCACATTCGAGTCTCTCCAGGCCTTCCTAGCTCGGCTGACTGCCGGATGGTACTGAATGAAAACCCTCAAAAGGCTTGCTGGCATAGGCTCCTCCACTTGGCGCAATACGAGTAGAGTCTTAAGTACCTCTTTGCTTATAGAGGAAACATACAAGCAAGCAAATGCTGTTTCTCATGTTGCTTGCCTAAGTTTGTGCACTTGGTTACCGTTGCTCGGCAACGGTTGGATTTGTTTCGCTCATTCCCGCTATGGCGCTATTCGCCTCTGCGTTATCCCGATTGAGTCCTACTCAATATCCTGTAATGCTTTTATATTGTTATGCCTACTCATTATTCTTCAATTAAATGCATGACAAGTGTGGGGGTCCGCACTCCACCCAGCGGTGCTTCAGCCATCTGACGGACGCTTGGCGTCACCAGTTCCCGGACGTCACTGAGATCCCTCGCTGGGGCGAGCTATTTAGGGCGGGTGTTGCGATCTTTGATCTTGATTATGATGCTATTCTTGCTGCCATGTATGCTGTGACTATTAGTGATGAGGGTGACTGTTACTGGTGTTTTCCGCCTAACCTGGGCATTGAGGATACTGCTCTAGGTGCTGGTGAGGCTGCTGCTCTAGGTGCCAGTGAGTCTGCTGCCCCAGGTGCTGCTGAGTCCGCGCTCTCAGGTACCGCGTCGGCTCCGGCCACCCACACCTTCACCCTTGACTCGGGTGCTTCCCGCTCCTTCTTTCGAGACCGCACCACGCTCACGCTGCTTAGTCGGCCAGTGGCAGTCTCCCTGGCAGACCCCTCTAGGGGTCCTGTCCTTGCCCACTTCTCCACTGTCCTACCGTGTCCGGCGGCCCCTTCTAGCACCCTGTCAGGTCTTTACCTCCCCTCGTTCTCTACGAACTTGGTGAGTGGTGCTGACCTCCAGGATGCAAGGGGTTCAACAGTTCACTCCTGCGAGTCGTCGAGTGACCCATTGTACCTGTGCTCGGACGGGCCGTCACTTGGCCACGTTTACCCGTCAGCCGGGGTCGAGCCTGTACACACTTACTACAGAGTCTCCTCCAGTCGCAGAGTCGGCTCAGGTGGCCGCGTCGGGTCAGGTGTTTGCTGCGGCGTCCAGGTCTGGCTCTGAGTCTGCCCCCTGCTCGTGTCGTCTCCTGTCTCACCAGACTCTCCTCTGGCACCACCGCCTTGGTCACCCCTCTCTGCCTCGTCTTCGAGGCATGGCTTCCCGTGTCCTTGTCTCTGGTCTCCCCCGGTCCCTCCCTCCCCTTCCTCTGGGGCCTGCTCCCACCTGCGTTCCCTGCGTTGAGGGGCGGCAGCACGCTGCTCCTCACTCCTTCGAGTTTCCTCTGACAGAGGCTCCGCTGCAGACGCTTCATATGGACGTGTGGGGCCCAGCCCGCGTCCGTGGACAGGGTCACGTGCGTTACTTCCTGTTGGTGGTTGATGACTACTCGTGTGAGGATCTAGGATCGAGCTCAGAAAAGAGAGTTTGAATTGAATGGTCACCTGGGTCAACACGAGGCTATATATAGGCTCGACAGTGTTAAAAACGAAGGACGGAGTGTGTGAAGATTAGGTGCCCGAATTTCTCAAAATTGTTGGTCTCAATTTCTGGACAGAAACGTCGACTTCACAAGAAACGTTGTCGACGAAAGGTGCCCTGTTAGAATCCCACGAAATTCGAATATGATGTAGCCCTAGACCGTGGCTACATTTCCCAATTTGAATCGTACCAAATTATGAAGCATATCTCGAGTTATACTTTTCGGCGCACTAGGGGGTATGATGCCACAGAAATTTAACTCGATCAAAATTTAACTCACAAGTCCCACAAAAGAACATTAGGGTAGCACTAAACCTGGTAGGAGGGGAAGAGGAGGACGAGAGGGAAGGTCCCAAGAGAGAGTCCCCAACCAAGGAAACCCCATGCCACACAATTCCCTTCCCCATAGGCAACAAACTTTGACCTTAGTCACTTTCCAACCCATGCCATCCACCTCACCACAACTTGGCCACACTTACCAACCTGGTTTGACTTCACCCAACCTCTTGGCAGCATCTACAGTGATGGGTTCGAATTTCCCAACCCCCACAAGTCGGTACCCCATATTGAGTCAATGCCACAACTTCCCAAAGTAGCTGCAACCAAAATATATAAGCATACGAACTCCAATGTTCGTAACTTTCTTGGTTGTGCTCCGATCGCGACGATTCTTGGTTCGTCGGAAAGCTCTTGAGTAGAGGAATCACTTCAGATATCTGCTCAAGCCAAATAACATACACTCACTCTGAAAAACCAAACCACATCAAACACAAATTCTTGCACACGCTCACACCACGCATGCAACGCACAAACACATGATGGGAGGCAGACAGACGTGAATGCATATGGTTGCATCGCACAACAAACTCCCCCTTTGGCTGCCAACCATCATCCCACATGCCATAACTCAAGCATGCACCCTCAATGCACACTCATTCCCGCAAGCTTCATGCCCTTCCAATGCTCAGGTTCTGCCAGGCGTTTGGTGAGAATGTCAGCCACCTGCTGCTAGGTCTTCACAATCTCCAGCCGCACCTCCTTGTCCAGGAGCCTCCTTGTCCAATGCCACTTTGGCCTGATGTGCTTTGTCAAGCCATGAAGACAGGCATTCTTTGCAAGCTCCACCGCCGACTCATTGTCACAGAAAAGCACAGTCGGCTCCCTCTGCACACACTCCGATTTCCTCCAACAAACGCCTCAGCCACACCACCTCCTTTGCCCCATGATGCAGGGCCATGTACTCTGTCTCACACGAGGACAACCCCACCTCGTTCTGCTTCTTGCTGCGCCAGCTCACTGCACCACCTCCAAGGAGGCACACATAGCCTCCAATGCTGGTGCCATCCGTCTTCACTGAGTTGAAGCTAGCGTCGGTGTAGCAAGTCAAGCGCATCTCCCCCTTGCTTAAATCAGCTGCACCCCTCTGTAGCCTCTGTCGCACAGCACTGTACTCCAAGCCCACTGATGCTGTAGCGCTCACATAGCGGACCAACCTCTTGGCCGCTTCCAGCTGCTCATGACTTGGGCATGAAACCACACTCGCGAGCCTGGATGTAGCAAAGGCAATGTCAGGCCGCGTGTGGTTAGCCGCATAGTTGAGTGCCCCCACCATGGAGTGAAACAACTTCCTGTCACTCTCCCCCACCACCTCCTCATCAGCACAGGGCTCCACAGTGAACCCCAAAGGCAGCGGGGTGGCTGGCTTTCCTGCATCTTGCAGCCCATACTTCTCAGCCAGCCCCTCACAATACGTCCTCTGGTGCAACCTCAACACTCCCTTGTCAAGGTCCCTCTCCACGTGCATCCCAAGGTAGTACTTCACATCTCCCATCTTGGAGCTTTTGAACTGCATTTCCAGCATCTCCTCCACACGTTCAATCATCGCAGACGACTCAGAGAAGAGCAGGATGTCGTCCACGTACACCAGGAGCATGAGGAACTGCTCCTTCTCTTGCAGCAGGAACATGCTGTGATCAGCACTCGCTCTTCTTGAACCCCCCGGCCAGCAGTGTCTCCTCCAGCTTGTGGTACCATGCGCGAGTAGCCTGCTTCAGGCCATAGATGGCCTTCTTGAGCCTGCACACGCTGCCGCTCCCATCATCCAACCCCTCAGGCTGCAGCATGTACAGCTCCTCCAGAATGATTCCATTGAGGAAGGCAGTGATTATGTCCATCTGCTTGATCTTCCAGCCACGGTTTGCAACCATTGCCAACATCGTCCTCAGTGTAGTGCCTTTCCCCACAGGAGCAAAGATATCATCAAAATCCTTCCCCTTTGTCTGTTGGAACCCCTTAGCCACAAGCCTTGACTTGTAGCGGGTCAACTCCCCATCAGGTCCGTACTTGTGCCTGAAAATCAGCTTGGAAGAAATGGCCTTCTTCCCTGGAGGCAGCTCACACAGCTCCCACGTCTCGTTCTCCAGCAGAGAGTCATACTCCTCCTTCACACTCTGCTTCCACTTCTCAGCATCGGGCCCACTCAAGGCCTCAGTAAGTGTCTTGGGCTCAAGGACGGCTGCCCAGTAACAGTGCGCTATCTCCTCCTCATCACAATGCTCAGCAACACTTCCAGCATGCTCCACATTTCGTGAGCCAGTGCGATTATAGCTCAGCCTAATAGGTGGGCGTATATCCCTCCTATGACGCTCAGGCGGGCGTGGGGCACATGGTGGAGCACATTGCTGCTGCCGCTGCTGCTGCTGCTGCTGCTGCTGCTGTTGCTCCTCCACCTCAGGTTCTCCCCCATCCTCGGTCACCTCAGAGATCTCCTCATCGGAGATATAAACCTCCACTTGCCTCGAGGGCCGCTGCACCTCATCGGCCTCAATGATCAGCGGTGTAGTAGGGAGCTTCTGCTGCTGCTGCTTCCACTCCTTGTAGTACAAGGACTCAAGGAACTTCACATCCCTTGACACAGTCAGTTGCTGGCTGGTCAAGTCCCAAATCAGCCATCCCTTGTGATCCTTAGCAAGCCCCAAGTGCACACCCCATCTCCCAGAGGCTTCTAGTTTTCCCCTCTTCTCCTTAGGTACATGAAAAACCACCATGCACCCGTAGGCTCTCAGCATGTTCACCATTGGTGCACTCCCATACCACTTGGTGTAGGGGACCCACTGCTTGTCCCCCACAGTTGCCAGCACCCTGTTCTTCACAAGGGCGACCTGCCGCAGTGCAGTCACCCAAAACGGATCCGGCAGCCCTGCACGCCCAAGGAGAGTGCGAGCACCTTCCTGCAGGGTCCGGTTGAACCGCTCAGCCACGCCGTTCTGCTGAGGGTTGTAGGGCACCGTGAGCTGATGCTGGATCCCCTTCTTCAGCACTGCCTCAAAATCAGCGCCAATGAATTCTCCCCCGTTGTCAGTGCGGATCACCTTCACCTTATGTCCGCTCTCCCTTTGAGCTCTCGGCATCCACTCCTTAAGAACAGCCGCTGCCACCTCCCCCTTGGTCTTGAGAGGGTACACCCACACCGCACGCTTGTGGTCGTCCACAATCGTCAAGAAGTAGCGGCTGC